TTCTCCCCCACTCTCCCTTTCTCTCCTCCTTCACTTCCTCCCTCCATCTCTCTCTCTCACACTGTTTCTCTATCTCACTCTCTTAAGTAATTAAGAGATTAAAACCATGTCATTGGTGAGTTTTATATTTTTTCAGAAAGGTGTAAAGAGGAAAGCAGACGCCATGGCTCCCATGATTGGCAACTCCACTCTAGACCCATTTTCACCTGGGCTAGGGGAAAAAATGGGCAAGATATCATCTCGGAGAGAGTCAGGAAGACAGATCAAGAAAGTCAACAAGGATTTACCAGATTCTCAGGTAACCTTGAGGGAAGCAACTCAGGTGAATCTCTTTCTTCTATGTGGCATGTTCATCAACTTTGATCCTCGGGGACTTCAGTTGGGACCCTTTGAGCTTCATTATACAGTATTAATAATAATAATTAAAGTACTTATGTATTATGAAATTAGAAGCAACTACCCAGGTAAACTATTCTGGGCATCTCAAAAGATAATTCAAAGTCCCACTTCTCTTCTGAAATTTGATTGCTTTTATCAATAGCTAATGTCATGATATGTTATGACTAGTAGCTTAAAAGCATGTTCATGGAATTACAGAACGAAGAAAAAATGTTAATAGGTAGAATGCAGTTAATTTCCTCATTGTTACTTGCTAGTATTTGTATTGGTTGAAGTTGTGATCTCTAGGTTTCACTGCCAAAATCTAGGATACAGGCATTTTGACAGAGGAAACAAATAATATTAAGAGGGTCAAGCAAGAAAATGTTGGCGATGGTGTGGATTAGGAATAGAGATGTATTGTGCAGTATATAGAAAGGCCCTGATAGAGTAAGAGATTAAAAATCAGACTGTTCAAAATTCGAAAGTATGGTGTGGATGTATGGTATTGGTTGATTGGATTGTAAGAAGAGTGTATTAATGCAGGTATAAGTGCTACACGAATGGAAAAGAAATGCATCAGAAATTTCTCATGATGGGAAAGGGTAATAAAAATTCCCAGAATTGCTTTACTGTACTTTGGCAATAAAAGCATCAGTATACAGTACTATATGATGTATATTTTAAGGCCTTTGTTATTGATTCTCAGGCTTTATTTCTCATATTTTGTATTACCCGGTAGGTATTCCTAGCAGAGAAACTTTTTTTTTTTACAATTTTGCAGTACAGTATATCTTCAATATTTCAAGAATGCCTCATTATATTGTTTTGAATCTGAAAGTAATTTCAGTTTGAACAAAATAACATGGCTGCTTTGGAATTTGAATAATATATTCCCCACAGCATATTCTTATTTATTTTGGTTTCCATGTGATATCTTGAAAGCCTTTTCGTATTTGCCTGAAATTTACAACGTACAGTATAGACAGTATTATCACCTTTTTCGTTTTCATATGATATCTTGGCCTTATCATATGTATTTAAAATTTAAATCACCTGTACGTCTAGAACCTAAAGTTGTTCTTGTTGTTAAGGAATGAAGCACAGTGGAACTTTTAAAATGTGGTCTGTATTTTGTAAACTTACATTTTGTTTTTGTTTTTTGAGCTTTGTAAAACAATGACGGCAAGTAATTTTGTGATTTTGATTTGTATTATTAGTGATACAGTTTTGTAAGAAATGCAACATAAGATGAGAAAACACACAAATTCTCTACATTACAATTGTTAGGTGTTAATGTCTATTGGCTGTATTTATTATGGTGATCTCTTTGGGAATTCTTTATGAACTGGTATTGGGTTGCTTGGACAATTATTTTCTAAATTAGAAAATAAGACTCTGGGTTTCAAATATATAAATTAAGAGTGCAGATTTTTTTCTTATTAGGGTACAGTCACTGGATTTTGACACTTAAGAAAGTTTGTGATGATATTTGTAATGATATAAGTGGTCTTAAAAGTAGTTATTAAATTTTTGTAAAACTTATGTAAAATTAAAATGGAAACCTTGTTTGATAAAATTGTATCAGAATGGACATTATTCTTTTATATATGGAGTTCGTCGTGTGGCAAGTGAACATTTAGTTACCCTGGTGCCGGGATCCAGATGGCAAAGACATACTTGTTTGGGGAATTTTGCAAGAAAAACGGTGGTTTTAGTCTATATTATATATCCTTCAATTTCATACTACCTGTATTAGGCAACATTCCTAGAATAATACTATACCTAGTTCTGGATGTCTGGACATCCAAGGTGTAATGGACAATGTCATCAGGTATCCCAGTGTTTGGTGGCTCATATTTTCAGAATCACTGAGTGTTAAGATGTCACTTTTGGACATGATAGGAAGCTGTGTCAGTGCTGTTTCGAGGTGTTTTCATATTTTGTTTTTCTCCTGATTTCCCTTGTATGGACACCTGAGTTAGACATCCATGTTCAGTGACTCATAGCATGCAGAGTAGCATGGTGTGTTTAGCATACTTTGGTGGCATATTCAGTTGATTTCTGGATTTTTGTTGGGGGTTGCTATAAACAGGCCTATTTTGGTACTGGTATTGGGAAATATGATTTATTACCTATAATGCAATGTTCTAGGTATTGGCCAGTGCCATTCCACAGTTTAGTACTGTTCATCTGTCTGAACATAAAACAAATTCAAACAATTATTACCCCATCTATTTAAGACAACATTTTGTAAGAACCATGCATTAAACCATTGAAAATAAGTTATAATATTTGTTGTAACAGTTATTCATTAGATAACATACATATTACAGTGCTTTATTGGAATATTGTTTACTGTACATGAATTTTTTCAGTGCAAATGTTATATAATCAGCAACTATCTGGAAAGGCCAATTTTTTCCTCATTGTCCTTAGATTTGAAACACATGCATAATATCTTAAGTCTATTGTTTATCATAAGTGTATTGACACAGTATTCACACACAACATGCTTATATCCACAACTTTATAGGTTACCTAATCTTTTGGTTATCTTTGAATTGTTCTGTGTGGCTGGTATCTAACCAGGCCTCATGGTTGGTGGTCTGTTCAACTTGGCTGTTCAACACGGCTGCTCATGGCCTAGCATATGGATCACTGTCTGTCTGATCAGGTATCCTTTGAAGGTGTTTATAAAGTTCCACTTTGAACACTGAGAGCTTGGCCAGTTATGTCTCTTATGTATAGAGCAGGAAAGTTGAAGAAGTCTTGGGCCTTTCATGTTAATAGAGGTCTCTCTCAGCATACCTATTGCACCTCTGATTTTCAGTGGGGCTATTTTGCACATTCTGCCATGCTTTCTGGTCTCGTTGTGTTATTTCAGTGTGCAGATTTGAAACTGGGTCAAGTATTTTCCAACTGTAAATTATTATGTGTATCTGCCTGTGCTCTAGGGAAAGCAGATTTTAAAATGTTATGCAGTCCCGATTATATTTAGTTGATTCAAGCAATAAAAGATCTTTGCATGCTCTCCAGGTCAGCAATTTCTTCCGCTTTGAATTGGGCTGTTAGTGTGCAACAATTTTATACCTTGGAGAGCACTAGTGTTTTGAAAAATATTATCATTTGTATAGCATCTCGTGTTTGAAAATTTCTTCTTATCCAACCTGTCAATTTTCTTTGAATAATTACTACTACTTTACTGTGTTCTTTAACCCTTAAACAGCACAGCCTTAGGGGTCAAGAAGCGAAAAATATTCAAATTCTGTAAAAATTACTTAAAAATGTTAAACAAATCTCCAACATATTGGCTTCAGGGTCATGAAACTTTCATCAAAATATTTTCAGAAATTGATTTTAGACAATTTTTTAAAAAAGAAGAGCATTTTGTTGATAACGAGAACAGCTTCTATTAACTGGAACTGAGAGATAATGCAGTAATAAAGAGTTGCAAGCACCTGTCCGACACACAAAGAATAGTAGTAAGAAGTGTCCACAAAGTGGATATGCAGCTGGTGCCTTTTTTGCATTGCTGAGTAATATATAATAATGAATAAGTATGTTGCTATGCTCTATTTTGTTATATATCATATAAATACATTACCCAATGTTAATATCTGTTACTTTCATCAATGTCCAAAAACTGTTATCTGGGGGGAGCCCCTACAGCTTCGTGGTGTTATCCAAGCTGATATGAATATCCCTAACTTTGGCATCAGTCGATGTGGGTGGAGTTCTAGGCCACCCAAGGACAAGCTAGAATCTGGTCTCCTCAGAGAGGCACGAGGAGCAATAGCCTATAGAAATGCACATGTGATTTGGAACATTCTATATCTGCCATCGACTGGGACAGGCACCCAGAAAGGTAAGCACCCCAAAACAAACCCCTATTCTGGTTAAAATTGACGAAAATAGACAAACAAGTGGACAGAACTCCCCAAATGAAAACGAGCATGACGTCACACGAGCCGCGCTGCATGTCTGCGCAGCACCCCCCCTTCCCGGGAAGGGGAATGGGGAGCCCCAGACCCCTTGCGTCGGCGCTCCACCCTGCAGTTCTTCAGCTGATGTGATCCGGCATGGTTGTCGTATCGTGCAGCGTTGGCAGAGCCACTGCAGCTTGCTTGCGTTGTTTTACCTCCAGCCTGCTCATATGCCGCCTGAGCTGTCCTGGTCTTTGGACAGGGTGCTCTCCTATCTCTTCTCCTCGCTTTATTGTGGTTCCCTCGGTTCAGGATTGTTTTGCCGAGTCTCTCTTGATGTTGGCATTGGCCTCTAGGGGTCGGGTTGCAGAGCTTCATGCCCTCTCCGGCGCAGGGGATTTCTGCTCTTTTGGTCATGGTGATAGGTTTGTTCATCTACGGCCGTCTCCTTCTTTTCTGGTGAAGAATGAGACTGCTGCTTTCCAGAGGGGCCCTTGGGTTGTTAATGCTTGGTTGGTCAGGCTGGGGGTGCATCATGTGTTATGTTTGGTTGTGGCTCTCCGCCGTTATTTGTGTGCCACGGCTTGTGTGTCTGGGGACATGCTTTGCGTTGATCCGGTTTACCTTCTTCCCTGTTCGCGGGTACGGGTCTCTCAGATCGTCCGCAAGGTTATTAAGTGTAGGCAGCCTGCGGTCTATCCCCGTGTCCATGACGTTCGTAAGCTTGCTGTTCTTGCTGCCATCTTTGGTAATATGTCCTGGGCTGACATATGGGCACCGGGGTTTTTGGTGGTCAAACAGGGTCCTGGCTGCACACTACCTCTTTAAAGTTCCTGGGCCAAATCAGGCCTGTGTTGCTCGACTTCTAGTTGAGATGTGATCACCGACCGCCTCTCAGGTAAGTCCCCTTTCTTTCTTTTTCGTCTTTGGTGAAGTAGCTCCGGAGAGCCGTAGGGGCACCTCCCAGAAAACTAGCAGTGAATATAATGAAACACCATTTTCTGGATGCTGCAGAGGC